AGGAGGAGGAGGAGGAGGAGGAGGAGGAGGAGAGTGGTGCACTCATGTGCAGAGGGTAGTTCAGAAAAAAACGGTATTATTGTTGGCGAGTTAGTGAGAGCTTTTTAGTCACGTTTTTGGAACCTTTGTCCGGTTGGGTTTAGCATACTGCGTTCAGGCACGTCGCCCCTGGATATAGCAAGATTACACTCTGCTGGCGAAAGTTTAACGAAGGGCAACCAAACTAGTCAGCGGATTTGAGTAACGACCGTACGAGCGTCGACTTGAAACACTTTACATTTTTCCTCCAATAGACAGTATACGGGGGGATATGACAATGGTCTTCAAAATCATCAGAGATGTAGACCATGCTCTTAAGATGACTGATTTTTTTTGAATTGGCAAAAACAATAAATCGCCGAGGTTAAAAATAAAAACAATTCTTTTGTCGGCACTCTAGCACCTTGGCCCCATGAGGCGATTGGACAAGTGGGAAGAGACGAGGTCGTTCCTGTATCCTTATGGCGGATAATGGCACTAGATGGTGTACCGCCAAAAATAATCGTTACGATCAAGGCTACTATCGCTCTAACACTGGGTAGATTCTGCTCCATTGCAACCTTTCGCTATTTGGTCTGTTTTTCGACAGGGTTGTATCCTGTCGCCCATTCTATTCAACTACGCCATTGAACAGATTCTCGGAAGGCCTTACGTGACAAGGCCGATGTTGAGCTTGCAACCAGACGGCGGCTGACTGATCTCGAACACGCCGATGGCATCGCCGTACTAGCTTTAAGTTTTAATTATCTGCAGTCCATGGTTTCATTGGTGAATGATATCGCTCAATTGGTCGATCTATCAATAGAAATGTTTTCAAGCGGTGCCCCTGATCAGTAAAAGGAACCCAGTGGGTAGACGAAAATGAGATTCACTTTTTTTCAAAACTGGAGCGTTTGACAACGTCTCAGTTGGGAATCCATCTACTCGTCCACCTTTAGCGGCAATTAATACTGACTGAGCGAAGTTGTCTCTCTTTCCCGAAGTGACATTTCGGTCTTCGTTACCGACGATGATCACTGTGACAGGAACCTGACGGTACAATGCGCGTCAACTATTTTTTAGTGATAGTAGACTTGCGCAGCATATACAGCACCCGATCCTGTCTCACTCACGCCAGCCTGGTGTCAAGAGGGCGTTAAGAGAACCAAATTCGGAGTTGGGCGCAGTGGCTGACAAAGATAAAAAGCCGACCTACATGTGCCTCACAGGAAATGGCCTTCTGGGTACGCGCCAGCTTTTCACACAAATGGAGAGTGTAGATCAGAGCTCAAATGTGTGTTCAACATAGGCATTGGCAGCAACACCGTAGGTATTACCAAAATACCCTTTCTTTCATTGTAAACGATGTCATTCGACGTAATGATAATAAAATAACAACTTGAAGGTGATGAAAAGACCCCCTGTTTCATCTCTGTTCCCAACTTCCACAGAAAACTATCTTAACTCCTGTCTGCTTCAGCAAACTACGAGAGGTGGATAGACAAATGAAAGCCTCGAGTAAGTGATCTGATATCCTGGTGATAATTGATGTCTCCGTCATAATTTCCCCCGAAATTGGTTATGTTGCCTATCTGACTGTGACACCTCTTAGGCTCCTTAATTACTATTTTATGAATCCCCAGCATGCCAAAATTGTCATTTTCAACAAGACAACCATAAGGGATAATCGCAGGATCAGAGAAGCAATCTAATGAATACTGTTTTGATTTATATTACTGGTGTTTACCGTAGGGTCTAAGCTTTAATTACATAGCTGGATTTGGCGCCCCAATATCTGAAAGTTTCTAATGGATGCTCACTGATAGGTTACCGAACTCGATCGTCTCGTTCTGCCTAGGGGCTCATTCTCGAGTCCCACCAGCATCCGTACGGTGGCTAGTGATATAGGCAGAAGCAAATTACCGACAAAGAGAAAGGAGACTGGAATGGCCACTTCTGGCTTATGAGCCATCACCAGACAGTCCAAATAAACCCCAGAATTTAAACCCTAAGACTCTAACCCGCGGCCTGTTGGTCAGAATTCTAACGTTCTAACCATTCAGCCACGGTCTCGTTGTCTTGCCGATTTCGATCGTAAGTCCCGTAACCGATCAGTGAATGCATAGCCATTAATGTCACTACTCCTGATAAAAGCCAGCAAGACAACGGGCCCGTGGCTCAGTGGTTGGAGCGTTGGACCTCTAATTAGCAAACTGCGGGTGCGAACCTCGGCTGGCGCACCTCCTGAGGCTGGGTATGGCTAACTTACGAGGGATAATGCATCAGAAGTAGCCATTTCAGCCTCCTTTGTCTTTTTCGGTGATTTTCTTTAGTCTTTAATTTGCCCAATCTGCATGCAAAACCCACAACTCGAGACTGTGCAACAGGATCGACCTGACTGAGGCCGAGTGTGTCAATCACGTTAGGGGACAACGGCACAGATACTTTCTTTACTAGCATTTAGGCATCTGCATTAGTAGGGCGCTAGCAGTGTACATTCAGCCGCTGATGCTTTTTAGCACTGGCATACGTCGTCCCACAAATGCATCTTAAACGACTGTCTCCAAGCGTATTAATTACAAGATATTGCTTTTCAAATTATTGATTCAATTATTACGAAACGACTGCGAAATCTAATTTTCATCATTGTCCAAAACAGTTGTTTTTCTTTCAGCAGATAAAATTGCACAAAACATCTATGTAAAGCACCTTTTTATATCTCTCTACCACTCCTCAACTGACAGCGGTCTGAGTGAACATCTAAAGTGCCTAGATGATGCTTTACTGATACCGATTGAAAATACTAACTCACATTTCATTTTAAGTTGGATAACATTTGCTGACTTTGGAAAACCAATAGAGGTCTACATTAAACATATGTAAAGGACCACTTCCAGGCCTGCTTCAAAGCCTCTATTCACGAAGAGTCTTTACGAGACCAGTCTACCCCTGGCAAAATGTGGTTTACCATAGAGGAAGAGGGGGAGAGGGAAAACCAGAAGAACTTCATTAATCCTCGTCATTAGTCCGAGTCTCTTTCAG